GGTAAGAAGTCTCAGGAAAATCCGCGGTTCCGGGTCACAATCAAAATCAAATTTTTACATGGACAAGGAGAAGCACAAACAAGTGGGAAATTGAAAGGGAATGTAATTCCAAAGGATGGGGCGACAGGAGGCGACATCTAACGGAAGAATTTTCCATTCTTACAGTGTAGTGTTTACAATTAAAACATTCGTAAAAAAAGTGAATGAACAGTGCTGGATTGCCATTGTCATAGAATGGTCGTAGTGGTTTAGTTTGTGTTAATAATAGAAGAAAATTCATCATTTATATGTGACTATTACACAAAATTTGACAGTGAATACATATTCTGCGGGTTGCGTAATATAAGGACATTACTTACTCCAAAATTAAGACAGACACATTAAGACATCTATTAACCGTTCCCATGTTGCGGGAGAATTGTGCAACCCGAAAGGCATTATTGTAAAATAGTAGAGACCTCTACCGGGCACTATAAATGCTGTTTTTCTTTACTAGTCTCCTCCAAAGGGACTTGCCAATACGCGTTGTTAAGGTCTAGAGAGGACAATGTCGCGTAGTCTATCTAATATCAAACATCTCGAGATGTGTGGTATGGGATAGGCATCTTTTTTTGTAATTTCAGATACTTGTCGAAAATCCAGAAAAAAACGCGTTTCGACGTTTAATTTTTTGACCGAAACTACATGTGATGACCAGGGTGATTTTGACGGCTCAACGACTCCTAATTGAATTCGCCATTCATCACTTCTTGCATGTATGGTGACAGTGGATGATATCTTTGCTTTATATGCGAATGATCTCCGGTATGAGTCTTGTGGAACACCCCTTTCGCGCGTCCTAATTTTTATTGCATGTCCGGAAAATATTGGTTTACAATCCCCTCTAACGCTCACCGTCTAAGTCCATTTCTTTGCAAAAATCTATCCCTAAAGTTAAATTTGTGCAAAGATCTTGTCCTGCCCTTTCCTTTCCCGAACATTTTCGGCAGACGTACTTTGTTACGTTTCCTTCCCCGCAACGGTAACAAAATTTCCGCCATGGGTCCGTACATCTATTAAAATTATGGCCTTCTTAGGAGCAGTTCCAACACTGTAATTTCTAATCTTTTACATAAACTGAGCAACTCTTCTATGCTCTCATACACGCTTAAACGGACGTAAATAAAATAGGGTGCAATGCTGCGACATGGATCCTGTTCTGATGGTTTAACCGCGCCCTAATTTCCTTCCACAATCCCATTGACAAGTTTGTAATTTTTAATTGCTATATTTCAGTCACTACACGTAACTATTGCCTACAAACGCCACCGCTTTTCTTATTATTACATTCATAAATCTACTTTTAAATTTGCATAAAAATCAAAAGCTCTACATTGCAGAAAATCCTCAATAATTCCCATTGTTGACTCAAATAAGGATGCAAAACGTGTCTTCTTTAAAGGAAATAATGTATATGTACACGACTAGTTGAACTTCAAAGTCGGAAATGCCGCGTCTCAATTTCATAAGATCCGAGTTCGTTTCGGAAAAGTAGAAAAATATGTATTCCATTGTCACGAGCTCTTCACGATTTAAATATCTCCTGCTTTCCTCAACGGCAGACTCGCCAGCTATTGTCCGAGCTACACTCAAAGCACCGTCCGTAATCCTGGCACATCTTATTCTTTACATTTTTGCTACATCTATGGAATAAATAAAAATCACAAACGCGCCGTTGCTCCCTACATAAGCCGAATTTAGCGTTTCGTTCTCATACAATCGACGAAATCCGGTGCATCGCGCAATTTAAAAAAACACAATCAAATTGTGCTCCGTGTTCCAGTTTGAGCTCGATCGCGGTTAATGTTGTATTGATCATCGCCGTTAAAATGTTTATTATGGCACTCTGCGACTGGTAATTGAAATACCGTGTAACACAGCGTAAAGACAAGTGGGGTGCAGTTTACCTATCGGCGGGAGGCGACCCCCGTCTATTTCCTACTTACGTTGATAAGGATCCTTTCCTTCTAATGTTCTTTATATGTTCTCTAAAGTTACGCTGAGAATTTAAATAAATAACATAAGTGGGCCGATAAATTTTTGTATGTCACTTCTCTTTCCAAACCTTTCTCGTATTATTTCAATATTTGAAGAGATTTACTGTCAATGAATATCGGTCCCTCGAGGCAATTTTAAGCAGTTGTCGTAAAGATCGTTAGGTTGTTTCGACATACATGAATGAAATTTCTCAATTTGTACCTGTTCATCCTTTGCTATGTATTATAAAATAATCGTTAGTTTTGTGATTGATATTGATGTACAGTGTGAATCCTGAAAGTAAACGAACATCCTCTTTTACCATGTCTGTCAATTATTGGGTGAATAAATTATTTTTACTGAATGTGTTCCCGTGTAGATTTTAAATAGACGAGAAGTGATAAAAAGTAAATGATGGCAAATATTTTCAGCCGAATTATTAAAAAATTCCTTCCATTCGCTTCTGTATGTACCCGGTCAGGATCGGTACATTTTACTCCCATTTGGATGAAAACTTATCATTTGCATTCTTTCGCGTTTTAAAACACATAAAAATATTTCCCTAAAATTTATTGTGCAATAATCCACGCTTCTGTATTTACTATGTTCGGCATTTATTACACATGTCGAAGTTTTGACTCTCATCTACTAAATCGGCATGAATTATAATTATTAAAAAAATGGTTATATGTATATGTAATTATACTCTCCCTTGGTTATCGTCCATCTGCATAATTACAAAGATTTCATAACCTCTTTAGGACGAAGAACACTTACTCTAGCGGGTGAATCGCTATAAAACACCAAACTAATTTTTTCATTTTAGTTTGTTGTGGTAGATCATTCCGAATAATGAACTCACAATCATATCTTGCGTATTTTCTTCGTCACATTTAAATAAAAAGGATTTGACCAAAAACTCTATTTTCATTAGACATTTTGTGGACTGATCTACCTGCTTCTTTGGTCACACGGTGTATAGGGCAACTAAAAATGTTAGTAAAAAATTTAGGATTTTATCTGTCAGTTTAAAGTCGCAAGAATTCGTACTTCAAACCTAGGCACCGAAAAGATGTCATTATCAATATTTATGCACTAATTTTGTTGAGAAAAATACCACGCTCGATGGCCTAGGAGTGATCTATGTGAATTTTTACTGACCAAAATATTTTCAACCAAAACATGTGTAACCTTCTCTTCAGCTGGTCATGAACTCGACTCTCAGATTAAATTCTTTCGTTTTAGGAAAAATAACCAAAACTATTGCTTAATGCTGACCTCTACTGTGAATATTATTAAAACTAAAAAGGGCTCTACAAAGTTATTTCATTAAAACAAAATATTCATTTTTAACGGCCCTACATATTTTGGAGCTAGATTGGCTGACATACTTATCCGCATCCGATAACACATGATTTATTCTCCAAACCTACAAAGTATGGGACTTCTCTGCGACGTAGATTATATCCTTTCTCCATTATCATAAGAAGTTTTTAATTTATCTTGAACGTTTTAATATAAAGATTGAAAAGCATCAGATCTAATCTTTATATTTTTTATATCCCTAATTATTTCTATGTTCTCATCACGGTCGGTTTTCTGAGGCTCCCAACCCCCATCTATACTAATTTCCCTACCAACATTTATGAAATAAGGGTGATGGCTTCATGTTTGGGAGTGTGGATTGCACAAGCTGCTTTTTGAAGGTAATTGTCCCAAATACGTTAATTTTCTGAAATTTAAGAAGATGATAAGCGCTGTGTAAGATATTTTGACTCCATATTTACTGCGCAGAGCACGAAATTCCCTCGCGGCACCCTAAATAATAAAAATACGTTCTCTTCAAGAAATCTTATAACTGCAGGAAAAGTAACGAAGCGCAATGGAAGCACTAGGGGAAATGGGGTCGATCTGACCTCGATAGTGTATCCGGCACAAAGTTTTTCTTCCCACCTGGTTAGTCGCGCACTGGGATTCAGCAGATTTAATATCTAAAGATGAAAAAATTGGGTGTCTCGCAATTTATCTAGTATGTCCGTCACGTAAGGTAGAGGATAGGCATCTCGCCGCTCAGTTATTGCATTTACCCTACTGGGCCCTTTTTCTTGAGTTCATAGGAATTAGGGCCCTAGAAGTCTAGGCAGAATCCGTAGGAATTATCTGCTTTTTAAACCAAAACTATTGGTAAAGCCCACGATGATGTGGATAAAAGATGATACTTCGGAACTGCACTTGAATCTTGACTTAGATGAACATTGGGTTCGTTGTAATTACAGATGTACAATTGGCTATTTGATGGTGGAAAAAATTCCGTTTCATTGGTACGCGAAGAAAGGCTTCCTTATGCGATAACTGCTCGATAAATACAACACTCCGACTAACTTCTTCGTCAACTTTACTTCTTTAATTTAAATCTCGTAATAAAAATGTCTTAGAGCATTCAACTAACTTCCTTCTACAAACCTTTACAACTGACAAGGCGGACTGTTTACACTTAAATACGAAAAAACTGCCGAACACCAAAACAAGAAGCGACAACGCAATGATAACAAATTTCTTATCGCAACAACCGGATTTAAATGAGATAACTTTAACAACAAATTATTTTAAAATGTCCCTAATCTTTCTAAATGAACAATGAAATAAAATCAAGATACAAGGCGAATATTTAAAAAAAATTGAGCATCAATAAATCTGATACAAAACACATTGGACTCAAATTCGAAAAACATGACCGAAATTGTATTCATTGTAAATTAACAACCATATTTAACCTTACAAGTATTTCAAACACATACCGGATGACCCTGTAGGTAATCGAGATCGTGTATTACTTTTGGAGATGTGGTGTGCTAATACGGTAGCTAAGTTAAATGCATGTAACACAAAGCCTCACGTTTAAACGTGCGCATTAAAGTTTTGCGAATCGATGAAATTAAATGCATTGTTAATTTTGATTGGCTGACAATTTGTTTTGGTTTCAGATTCTTCTTTCTATACCACTTCACTTTTTACGCCTACCATTACCGCTTCAATGGACAGTACAGTAGTTTGGCGCTTGTGACTTCGTGGCTTTTTATACAGGTAAGTGATTAACCTTATTATCACCCCCAATATCTGGGGCACGCTACTTAGAAAACATGATTTTTTTAATAGTTTCCACACGTCGAAGAGATTGGGTTAGCGTTGTGCGGGGCTCTCGGGACATAAGGGCTGCGCTTTTCGCAACCCCCTTCGCCGTTCCTTAATTTCAAACGTCTGGGATTTAGCGTCTTCCAAAATAATTGGATATGTTAAAATTTACACTTCGTATTGTTTGCGTCCGGCTCATTCGGAAAAGTGGGAGAGCTTTCAGCTTAAATTATAAGAGATTTTTTTTTCCTTTTCTTACATAAAATGCATTGTTGCGGGCGCGTCTCTTGAAAAGTAGGGATCGTAGTGATATTAGAGTTGGAGCTTTCAGAAGCTCTCGTGGGACTATTTCCGGTCAGCGGACCGCGACAACCTCTTATTTATTTGCCAGTTTAATTTCTTCCGCATGTCATGCGATTCGTTGCACTTTCATATTTATTTCGGCCTCTTCATCACAAATAGTTCAGATTTGAATAGAAAGTTTTATTTTTGAGCATTCGCTCGGAAACCTAACGCTATATTAAAAAGGGCGCAAAGACCTAATAATTCGATAAGGTGAGCATTGCCATTCCTCTATAATATTGTGTCATTTTAATATAGCGGCATTTCAGCGTGTTCGATTATGTAGCTATTTAAAACGTGACAATGCCAAGCAGTTGTCAGACTCAGGTTTTGTAAATAATAAACGCACTGCGGGTGGCACAATCGCCCTTTATCAATATTGGCGAATTTTTTAAGCGGCACTAAGTTTCGCGAGTTTACTAATACTAAGCTGGGCCGATATACAACGGGCTCTATGTTCTTAGAAATGGAAATGTCGAGATTTGCAATTTTCTGTATAAATGAACAAAAAATAGAGTAGACGCACTGAGAACGACGACGACAGCCATCTTGACTATATTTCTTTATATATACAATAGTGTTGAGACACTTGACATTTTCTCGAAATGATATTCTGACACCGCCACACGTATGAATATTCCATCGTACGATATTTCCGTGGTCAACAGTAATGGCCATTTCTACGGATTACAGTTTCCTCTTTCGGTAACTAATTTCCGTATGTAAAATATGGTAACACATTTCCTTATTTAATTACTGTCACTAGCTCTACTATGGAGGCACAAGTCGCAATGCAATACAACTCTGCATCCAATTTTTAAGACCGTCGGTCGTAACAACGTATCCGAGAAGGTATTTTTAGCTTGCTTTGATCTGATCTGATCTGATTTGAGTAAATTAATGCACATTTTGGAACCACATTAAGGTGTCGACGAGGGTGTCGATCTATCAAGTGTCTAAAAACAGTTAAACGTTGTTGTAGCGAATTTTCAAGAAATCTCTATAGATATCGAGGCACCATGAAAGATTAGTTATTGGCGATAAAGAAGCTGGATGTGACATAATCTTTCCGGGACATATGACGTATTTTGTTCTAGACACTCGGGGTTTTAACATCGATGCGTTCTTGTTATAAATTGTGATTATAGATTAATCGATTTTAAGGCTGTAGTAAATTTATTATTAATTCATTGTAAACAAATACTTCACATAATTAAATTTACGCTACACTGGTATCAGGTGTGGGGTCATTCTTAAGTGAACAATTAGTGAAAGTTTATGCGAGTAGTGACCAGAAAAATGGAACAATTGATGCAATTAATGCAAGAAATGAAATCCGATCAACCTAAAATCGAATCTGGTCAACAAGAAATAAGGGGTTTGATTCAAGATGAGATACAGTGTCCAAAATGATACGGTAGAAAATGAAATGAAAGCTAAATACGATTAACTATAAAAAGATTTTACGTTATTGACCGAAGAACGCGAAAAAGGTGTTGGGTCCCCAATGATAATACAAGATATCTAGTTGCTGTCCCACAATCCTCTCACAAAGAAGCCTCCGAACCGTGTGAAAATACTAATACTAGGAAAGTTCGAGTTGAGCCACCGACATTCGATGAAAAATCGCCGTGATCCTCGTACTTGAGAGGGTTCCGGTGTATTCCGCCGAATTAAAGAACCGGACGCAAAAATCAGGTAAAACTTTGGAAGAAATCCAAGCCGATATAGCCTGGTTAATACGATTGGCGTATCCTATGGCTCCAGAAAGCATTATACAGCAGCTGGGGGTGCAGACGTTCATCGATGGTGTTCGAAACACGACAAGCCAACAAGCTTTGAAACTTGGGCGAAGAAGAACTTGGGCAAGGCTTTGTCGCATACCCTGGAGTTTGATGTTGCAAAGAAAACGTCTCGGAGTAATGCTCGTGTGCACACCATTGCTACAGAAGAAAAGAACGAGAATCTAGAAGAAATAGTGAAAAGATTAATAGAGCAGCATCGAACAAAACAACGAGGACTTTGGTGCTCGGACTGTGGTAAGAACAGATATGGCTAGTCAAAAGCTACTACTGACAATTTGGTCTGGATCCTGATCATCACCAGAAGACAGCCTTTAGCATAGGGTCGGGTTTTTATGGCGATTTACGGTCATGCCCTTTGGTTTGTGTAACGCCCCAGCGTCGTTTGAACGATTAATGGAACAGGTCTTGAGAGGTTTATCCTGGAAAACGTGCCTTATGTATTTGGGCGACGGAATCGTGATTGGTCGAACGTTCGAAGAACACCATAACAACCTCGAAGACGTGTTTATAAGGTTGCGCGATGCTAACCTTCAATACAAAGAAGTGAAATATCTTGGTCACCTGATTTCGGAGAATGGAGTAACAGTGAATCTCGACACAGTTCGTGCAGTACAAAAATGGCAAAAGATACACACGAAATACAGAGTTTCTTGGGCCTGTGCAGGTACTACCGGCGATTTGTTCGTGGATTTGCCGATATTACCAAGCCGTTGACCAATAGAATAGAGGAACAATAGATTTTACATGGGATGATGGGGATTTTTGCAGATCTGTGAAGTATTACGACATATGCCTGACGGTAGATCTAGGGGTAACGAAAACCCTGGTTACGGAGAACGATTCTACTGGATGAATTGCAAACATGTGAAGGAATAGTGCAGAAAACACGCAGTTTGTGCCCCAAGCAACGGAGCAGTAGGAAAGAAGAAGGTACCGATGAGGCAATACAAAGTGGGTAGTCTATTTGAATGAATAGCCATTGTTATCGCAGTCTCTTTCCCGGAGACAGATTCTGGAAATAACTACATCCTGGTGGCCATGGACTATTTCAGCAAATGGACAGAAACATATGCGCTACCAAATCAAAAAGCGACAACCGTGACGGACGTTTTGGTAAAAGAACTTTTTTGCAGATTTGCAGTACTCCTGGAACTACACTCTAATCGGGGACGAAATTTTGAGTCGGTGCTGTTCCAAAACCTGTCTCAACTATTGGGTATTCGCAAGACCAGAACCACTGTTCTACATTCACAGTGAAACGGAATGGCAGAACGCATGAATAGGACAATAGAGAAGTACTTGTCAAAAGTTGTGTTCGACCACCAGCGTGATTGGGAATATCTGCATTTGTTTCTGCTGGCGAACCGATCTGCAGTGCAGGAAACTACAGGAGAGAGCCCAGCTTCCGTGTTGTGATTTGAAATTTAGTACAATACTCGGCGAGGAAGAAACTGTGGGGAACGAGTACGTGGAAAACCTGCACCAGAAATTGAGTGCTATCCATTATAAAGTACGCCATAATATGCAGTTGGCAAGCGATATAATGAAAGTGCAGTACGACGCCCAAACTGGTGGTTATCAAGCTGAATATTTGGAATGGTTGTATTAAAGTCACTAAATATAGAAAGTACCACAATCCATTGGGCTCGTGTGTTAGAGAGAGAACGCATGATTTTTGCCCAAAAATGGCGGAAGTTACCAGATTCTAGTAACTTTAATATTAGGGATTGTTCCACCTGTTTGGAGATATCTGTATATATTTTTATAAAACATGACAGTACTATGAAGTTAGGTTATAAAAAATTACAGCTATTCAGATTTTATTTGTCAATTTTTTTAAGTTAGCAGCAAATTTGCCCAAAAATGGCGGATGATTGCGGTACTTTCTATATCTAGTGACTTTAGGTTGTATCATCCCCAGATGAATCGCGAGCTATCCCCAAAATTACAAAGAGATTGAGAAGGACCGTATACAGTCGTGAATGAACGACTTAATATATCGGATACGGACAACTACCACGAGGAAAACCAGTGGTAGTGCACATAAATCGCTTGGCTCCATACACGGGACAGAACTAGCCCGAGTAACATCCAGATGCGGAGAATCTGATGCAAGTGAGACCACGACAATGCACTTTCGCGGAATTTATAGCCCTCTGGAACGCAAAGGGCATGCTTTGATGTTTCGAGGTATTGTCGTAGAAATCAAGTTCCGATTTGGAAGTTTAAGAGAAATCTACTTGCAACGTCCCGAGGTGGGTAGAATGTGTTTCCTATAGGAGCAGCGATTTCTTTATTATCTGGTAACAAAAGACCGGTCTTGTGATAAACCTGGTTACGAACATTTTTGAAATGCGTTACAGCATTTCATGGCGTTACCAAGCTGGCAATTCCAAAGATGTCTTTTGTATTCTTCAGTCAGGGTGGTTCAGTAAATGTTTTTAACTACCGGATGCGTTTGGAAAGTAATGCAATTATTTTAAAAGTCATTTATGAACAGATTTGAACAGACACTAAAAATTCTTCGGTACGCGCTCTAGCAGGCGTCTTCGGGGGACGTCTCGCAAGGACTTCGTCACGGTGGATTGGATCTCTTCTATGGACAAACTATTTTTAGGGCTGCCTTAATCCGAGGGAACAAAAAGAATAATTCTGGGGCGACATCACACGCGCTGTGGCAAGGCGTGTTGTCGTGATGAAGTTACTAGGTAGCAGAGATGTCTTTTCTCGTCCTCAAGACCCCTTTGCGGAGTCTTTCCAGTACATCCACCTAGTAGGCGGCTATAACTGTCTGTCCTTGAGGAACAAACCCTTTATGGACCACTCCTTTACTGTCGAAAAATACAATGAGCATTGTTTTCACTTTTAATTTGCTCATTCTTGCCTTATTTAGGATTGGGTGCTTGGGTGGTGTTCCACTCAGAGCTTTGGCGTTTTGTTTCTGGGTTGTATTCACAAACCCAGGTTTCACCATCAGTAATTACGTTTTCCAAATAATAATTTCAATACGTTACAACAGTTCACTTGCAATTTCATGATCGCTAAATCCTCAGGAACGCGAAACACAACAATAAACAACAAATTTAATTCATTGGCAACCATCGTGATACACAATCCACGGTCAGTGTCCAACATTTGTTGAACATGAGCCACATTGTTGTCGTTTTTGTTGGTTTACGGTCGCCCATATCGATATTCGTTGTGAACCTTTCTCCCGCCCTTCTTAAAGGCCTTCAATGACATCGAAATTTGAGAGTAGAACCGAACAGCGATCACGAATCATTTTGTTAGTCTCCTCAAGAGATTTTTCAGTTTTAGCACAGCTCGATTGTCGATTCCATTTTTTTTCTGGCGCGATCGCAGAGGTTTACAATAACTGACGTCCTGCTGCTTGCATAGCTTGGAGAGCACTGAAACCGGTTTCGAAGCAAACTTTAGCATCTCCCCCTCACCTACTCCAAGTTCGATCTCATTTCGACCAATAGGAGCAGCGTGCGATATTATTTGCATTACTGTCGCATTTTGTGGTTGTGTGGATGAGTTGCGAAGGCTCTTGTTTCCTGTGAATTCTGAATGGATTTTATACCTGAAAATGGAAAGGTTTTCATCATCAATATGGAGGTCATTTAGGAATGTAAGGAGTGGAGTCCAGGATTGTTCGAGGTCGTTAAGGTCTTCCATGAGCCGCCACAGAAATGCGGGGGGAAACTTGAATTTAATTTTAGGATGTTTGGGAAGCACTGTAATAGGAGGTATTATTTAATTTGATTTTTTTTAAATTTTTCGATTATTTGTGGGCTAACGTTCCTGGATACAGCCTGTCGAATGATTTGTGTGTGAAAGTTTGAGGAGCCGCGAGGTAAGGTAAAATGAATGAGAAATAAGGTACGGCCTAGCTGAATCATATCCGGTCGTTGATAAGGTGTGACGGTTTTTTTCGAAACCGTATAAATTGCTTATTTGGTTAAGAATTCAGTAGTTTTTTTGAGATTGTATTTCAGGCTTTAACGTTCTAATTTTCCTTGCGCTTAATTTTCACTCCGTAACAGCATATTTCATTGCATTGTCACATTAAAATTGTTATCACTGCTTATCCCCTTCTATGTATGTTTTCTCCTTGTCCTGCAATTCAAAGTTGGGAATCTTTAAAGTTTAAATATTTGGTCACCTGAGATTGATTAAGGGAATCCCCGCTTTTATACATTTCCCCAGGAAAAGTGAAAGTCTTCTTCTCTTCCTGTTGCAACTCTCGTGCAAGATTGAAGTGTGGTTAGCTGTATTCTTAACTAAAATTTATCCAACTCATCATGAGGATTATTTAAGAATAAAGGCTCCTTTTGAAGCTGGAATTATTAGTTGGCAATTTGGGTTCTGCTATTATTGGACCAGCGTTCATTTTCGCACTTGGGCGGATTATTCGACCACATGGATTTTACACTTCGACTCGTTCAAGATCTTTAGAGGTAAACCAGTTTATTATATTCTTGCTCGATCTTAGGAATTAATCTTTGCAGCCATTTCTACGTTTCGACATTTCTAATTTTCTACGTTTCTACATATCTACCTAGTGGATTGAAATTCAAATACAACTTGGATTGTGTATCGGACTCACCGAAGCTCTTTGTGTCTCGTCATCTTGATTTCCCGTGTTCGTCAATCGTTCCCTCCACCGTGAACTTCAGGGCATTCCAACGTCCATCGAGGCCGAGTGATATTAAGTCGACTGTTCCATTCTGGGCCGATACCACCTGAGGACCATTACTTCCACCGGCTGCTGAAAAACCAAGGTTAGACCTTCCCTATAACCCGAAGTTTACTCACCCATCCTAGTCCTTCCCATAATCCTCCATCTTGTCTTACCCACTTAGTCCTCTTCCTTAAGCACTCATACGGTTTTTTTTCATTTATATCATTCATCAATTAGTTTGGTATTAATAAAGAAAAAGCCATGAGGCATGTACAATGTAATTTGTTTTGAGATTTGACAGTAGTCAATATTTAACAGAACTTGTTAGTTCAAATTAATTTGTGGCGGTGTATTGCAACTACCTTATTTACAATATTTGTGAGACAAAAACAAGATCTATGCTTTCACCTTAATTACTATATTGTGTCTTACCTGGCAAGGTCCAAGTAAGGAAGATCTTCCAACGGCAGCCTGCTTAAACCTCCCTTTATTTTCACAGGTCATTCAACCCGCTGGTTTATACGTATGCAAAGCCAGTAGTTCTGATCTTGTTGCCGTCGGTTATTATTCGTAATAAGCATAATTCCCATAACACCCAATTATTATTTGAAAACAAAATCATACCTTTAATTATTTAATTTTATTCCTTCGTCTTGTGTGCTTAATAAATCTTATAATTTTCCTATCTTGTTTTGTGTATCCTCTTTCAAGTTTGAGAGGAATTTCCCTTTCAAACTTGTGGCGCCCTACAGCAGCGGTTGTAGCAGCCCTCGACCATCGTCCACCAGCAGTGAGCTACCGGGTAGGTAACATTTGTTCCGGATTTTCCGTGGCAAAGGGAGCTACGTAGCTTGAAAATTGCCAATTTTCACTGAGTTAGTTGGTTCGAAAATAGCGCAAATCTCATCTCGCTTTGAGCCGTGGTAGAGCTCAAGTCGAAGTAACCATGGGGTAATTAGCGGTGTAATACATCTCAAGTCGAAGTACTGTTAGTACGGAAAGAAATTAGGTTTATTTTTGTCATTTGGGATAGTCTGGGCAGGAATTACAAACTATTATTACAGTAAAATTCAAATAAGGTAATTCGTGTAAGCAAAGGTGAAATTTGGATGATTTATTCTTTAGCGCACGTTCACTTTCAATAAATAAAAAGTGCATTTTTGCGCTCTTGATGTCTGTCTGTCTGTCTGAATCACAAAGGCTCCGAAACTATACCACTTCTTCTTGATAAATTCGCTCTCGGAAGATTTTCGAGAAATTCTTAATTGTGTTAGAGGCTATTCAAAAGTACACGAGCGTTGGAAAAGCATTAGCGCATTCGATGCTGGACCTAAACAATAAGAAAGGACACAAATGTGGCCCATTATGTTTTTTTTTCTACCCTAAGCCCAACAGAATATACAATTCTGAATTTGTTTCAGCACTCCATGTTATACTTCTTTCACCACTACGAATTGCCGGTAATACTCCAGCAAGCCCACTTTCAAGAGTTCATTTTAAGAAATACACAACGCGAGGTTACCACTATAAGGTCTATTCCTCAGGGAATCGCGGCAATAAATCCTTTAACAACACGGATCACTCAATTTTTGTCCACTTTACGATCAACAGCGACCACCCAAACCACGACCACTACCAACCCTACGACCGCTACAACTGAAGTGACGAACGTCGCCACGTCCACATCTACCACCCCAACATCAACTGTGGGCACTACAGCTCAACCAACTACGTCAAGTCAAACGAGCCAGACAATACCAGCAGCAGTTCTTTCGGCTGCCGCCCAAACTCCTCCTGGTGTACCAACAGCAGCAGCCGCAAGTCAAACATCTGAAACACCTCATCCTCGTCCACCAAGCGGCTCGGATGAGCCCACCAATCAACAATAACCGACAATACCCCAACATTACAACCCCGTGTAGAATATTATGCTTAGATTTTTGTTTTGACATTTATTACATTGATGTAAATTAATTTTTAATAGGTGGGTGTAGGTAATGATTGAAAACAGTGCTAGAAAAAAATAAAGAGAAATAACATTACTCCAGTTCTTTGATAGATGTGTATTAATTTTTGCAGTGTTCATCCACAGGCGATGGTTGGAGTCGGAAACGTTAATTATCTAGCTAGGGTAAGTCATAAGTCTTATTAAGTTCTTGAAATTACGTGATAAAATGTCACGTTTTAAACTATTCTTGATTGATGATAAACAAAATGGCGGTTTTATACCACCAACAGTATTCACTAACGGATAAAGAATTAGAGAAAAGGACTACAGGGAATGTAGTTTTGTTTCAGTTTTCTCGGGTTAAGAATTAACTTCATATATGCAGACTGTATCACACTATTGGTAATTTTAATAAATACTGCTGTGTGCACTGGTCCGTAGACCAGAAAGCCCGTACACAAAACACCAAAACAAAAACCTAGCTAGCTCTTTACCTTCATTTATTCTGACGGTACAAAACTTCTCCCCAGCACAGAGAAGAGATTCAACTCTGCTCTCAGTTAACCTGTTAAGTTCTAACAGATAGTGGGTTAGACCAAATACCGTGAACTCCAAACTGAACTTCAAAATTTTTAATAATTAAAATGGACCTTGGGCAAACATCCAATGAAAACACAGGTAAATTAGAACTGAAGTCGTTAGATTCATTCATTCACACAAAAATTAATGTGAAAATTACAAAAGTGCGATTTAATCATAACACACACAAGGAAAATGGTACACACACACAAACAAACATTACAAAAAAAAAACTAAAATTAAGACTTAATTACTATTACTATGTCCGGGAATTGTACCAAATGAACGGTATCCTTACACAAAACACAAAAACAATTTTCAATTAAACACTCCATTAAATAATTACACTATAACGACCGGGTAATCGCAGCATCTTCTTTTCGGGTAGACAAGGACGTTCCAATAAAAAAAAACTCTGAGTCACGTTGACAACTTATGGGGCGCCGACAAACACCTCTCCTTGCAGCACCTTATTAGAGTCAGACAGTAGACAAATAATTAGCCGCGAATTCGGTTTCCGGTTTCACACACGAAACTTCTTCCAGGTCACATTAGACCAAACTTTCAATACTGGCCGTGACTTCAGATGAAAACTAGCCGGCCATGACTTCAACGAAACGTAGTTCGATGCTGCACGTAGCAAAAAACTGACTTAGAACTTCAACTACACGTAATACTGCCCTGATTGGCTAAAAACTGATTTTTCAGAGACGTGGTTCTGCGTTGACTAAGGCAAAAAGCCATGTTCTTCCTCTTCACGTGTTATTTAAAGCGAAACCCTTCTTCCGAAAATCAAAATTATAACAACAAATCCCTAAACTTACGTTAATAGATCAAAAATAATAAAGGTCGAATAATTTTACTAAACAAATCAGACATTAATTACTTTAAATACTAGGAAAAATAAAAATTCATCTCTTTTAACTACACATAAAAGGCGATAAATCACATCTACCTTAAGCATTTACAATTGATAACAGATAAAAACCAATACAAAATTCTCGGAAATTTCTACGTTAAATAAAATAAAAAGATAAACAAAAACAACCTTGACCGCTTTCTCGTATGACAATAATTTCCATGCTGTTACATACACCAACGACAAATACAAAATTTAATTATGAATGTTAATTACACAAAAAGGAGACCGCCCTTGCCCATCTTATTTATGATGTCCGAACATTTCATCCCGCCAGACGTAATAAACATAGCAATATCTATGTGTTATGAATGTTTGAATGTTTCTTCGTAAGTGTCATGAGAATTATTGTAAGTCCCTAGTGCAAATTAAAAGCGTGTAACAATATTTCAAAGTTCTAGTATTGCGCACAGCTTTAAATTTCTAAATCCGAATGTCATTTAATTTACCCACGCGAGTAGGATTTGTTAGGAGCTTTTCCTTTTTGTTGCTACGATTGCTAGCTGGCAAATTTCAAATGATAGTGAGCGTACAGGAAAGATGAACGCATACAAAAAGCTTCGCTATTATAAGAGAAATAGGGAAACTACTGAGAAGTGTAAAAGTGGTACGTCAATCGAATGAAATCGAACGAGGCGTATCGACATTGCATAAATTGTGCAGTTATATGTTGAATTGGTGCAGCTTTGCAATTTGATCACATCGTAGCAAGCAACAATTTATATTTCAACGTGGGCCTGACAAACATTTGGAGAAATGTCGAGTTAAATTTAAAGAAAGCTCGCAAACAATAAATTAATTACCGTAAGAGCAAGCTAAACCGAATACATTCTCGTGTCTTCATTATGCCTTGAAAACGTTCATTAAATTGTTTTCGAATATTTAGCTTTTAAAAATATATTAAATTAAATGCATTGTCCAACCAATTAAACGTAAAAGTCGTCTCATATAACGGTGAGCTTTCGCCATTCGGCGCGGTGTTCATTCAGTTCGGGCAAAAAAAAAAGAAATAAAATTCGCTAATTAACTTCAGAGAAGCTTAAAGAGTATCGTTATCAAGAGCAGAATTTCATCAACAATCCACCGGATAGGCCTTACGGGCTCGGCTGCAGATATAGATACCAGACTCACCTGGATAGTATCTATATAGATATACCAGAGAAAGCAGCAGCACCCTGTTAAGTATCCATAGCAACGATTTCCTGCGGCCAACAACTACGATGCCTTGCGTCATCTTCAAAGTTTATACTTGTATATATTTAATTTTCGGTGCTGCTTTGTTTTCTGTTTTGTAGGAGAGTGAACAGTTGCTTGCTTTTTACCCTCCTCTTCTGCCTAATAAAACAGACCGCTTATTTATGTGTACAAAGAAATTCCGTACCTTTTACTGACAAATCTCTGCTAACTATACGTTTGTCATGTTTGCGTCAATACTTTCGTTGTCATGTATTTTTTACTGGATGGGAAAATTGATCATATCGAGAAGATGACATTTACTTGTTTCCCCAGTTAAGTCCATTAAATTGGTTTTATGTTGAGCACTTGATTAATTTTAATGAATATTGTCATATTTTTGTGTATATCGCAATGTGCCAAGAATATAAAAAGCTAGGGGCAATGTGATAGTTGATTTAAGCAATTTTTAAGCAACTTTTAAGCAAGCAATTTAAGAGTACACACTTTAATTAAATAAGAAAAAAAGACATCTGAAAAGACAAACAATGATCAAATTCGACTGGATTTATCCAGTGAATCTCAGAATGGCAGAAAACTACAGGTAGAAACAAAGTCGTGTTGGATCCTGCAGGTCAAAATCTACAAGAATTTATTTGACCATCTGGGTAAAAAAAAGTTTCTGCCAGTTGCGGGAAAAATCGGTGTGGAACGTTTCCCTTTACAACATTTTTCAGTATACCTATTCCATAATAAGTTTTCCCGTGAAAATGAGGAAATAACAAAATTGAGAATGAACTTGAACTTGAGAGCAGCTTGGTGTTGATAGAAAAAATCAAATAAATCAAGTTTTTTAATTGGATCGTATGTCTTTTTTAATATTCTGGTAATCAACATCAATCAATTTAAATTAAATTAAATTTGAATGGTATAATTATTGAACTAAGCGAAGGAAATCAAAGTAAATTTGGTTAGATAAACCAAGGCAACATGTTTTCTACATTTCATTCACATTCACTTCCGAAATAGAAAACATTCTAGACAGTCTTAAGAAATAGACATGGAGGGAGCGTTTATTGGAAGAAACCAAAACAAGTATGAATTGTTCACAACTCTTGTGCAGATAAAGCGCATTTTTCAAACCGAAATAACTTCTTTTAGTATAAATGGTTGGATCATAAGGTAGTAGCATGCTATATTTATCGATCTTTACTTTCTTGGTAGATAATGGTTGCCTGTATGGGTAGGCAACCCTACTTATATGGGCTTACCTGTGCCCCAGTGGTCAACTCGAAATATACACGTGTTTTCGCAACCATGCAGCTTAGTAGAGTCGAAACAATGGTCCAGCCATTAGCAATCCACATTTGCGTAGGCTTATTTTACGAAAGACATTGAAATCTTATGAAATTCATGAGGCATCAAGTTAAAATTGCCGCAATTATTTATCTAAACGTCTTAACGTGAATGGGTTGTGCCAACCTTAATCTAGGTAAGCATATTTTTCATATTTCCGTTGTTTAGAATATTTTTCATTATTTCCAGGTTGGTTTATATCACATGTTCTCGGCAAATTCGAAGTTGCTTAATATATCATCTATACTCTATTGTATTTAATATGGGAAGTCAGTCATTGGGGTAAGCGAGGTTAATCGTATCAACATAATTATGTTTGATTTCCCCATTTTAGTTCCTTTCTAGGATATCTTATTTGTACCAAAACAGTATCGTTAACACTTGAGTATTGGACAAACCAGTAGCTTGCTGTGTTAAGATACCGCCAAATCGAGCAAGTGTGGATTTCCATCCATCATTTGGGGCCACGGTAGCTACTTCGAGTTGACTAAGTTCGATTCTCCTTTTTTTAAAGCAGTGTAAAAGTGGTAACATTATTTATTATAAAATGTGCCTTGATTGTTAATGATCTTTCCTCTCATCAAACAGTCGCGGCTTAAAATATGGCTTATCCAGACTCCTTTCCGTCTTCGCGTTGATCTTAAAAAAACTTCTTTCCTCGGCCCCTCTTCTCTAAACATCCTCATCCTTCAGTCTATCTGTCCACTTTACTTTTCTAAGTACCTTTTTTTCCCAATTAACTCTGACGGCCACTTTCTTGTTTTTATACAGCTGTCTCAACAGTTTTCTATCTCTCCAGTCTTCCATGTTTCTCAGTGCTTCCTACAATACTACCTAGTTGACTGCAAAACGCTTTCTACCAATCTATGAAGCATACATAAACATTTCTATTGACGTTCATCATCCTTTCCTGTATCATTGTAGACAACAAATGGCGTCGTTTGTCCCTCGTCCCTTTCTACATGGCTATAGCACATTGGTGTAATGCCCTCAGTGCCTCTGCAGGAATGCCATCACGGCCAATCGCTTTCTTATCTTTGAGATCATTAATTGCTCTTTCCACTTCACACATCATAGTCTCTGGTTCTTTATTGTCCTCCATGCACGTCGACTCATTCTCCACCCCTAACACATCTTGCTGCCCCTTATTCGACTCATTATATTCTCCTCCTATACTTGATATTTCACCGTGTTGTTTATTCCTTTTTTACTAATTGTAATGGGTTTTGATTTTTTCTTGTAAGCCTTTGCCGTATTGTACATTAATTTGTTCAATACTACCTTGGGTATCATTATCCATTTCCTTCCATCTTCCTTCTCTAAGCACTGTTGGCCTTATCAGATTCCCTTCTTATTTGATTATTAAATTGCTTATACTTATTCCTTCCTCCCTCAGAATTACTAATTCTCCATCTTCTTCTTTCATCAATCTTATCCACAATTTATGCCGGCATCCTTTCTTTCTTACCCTCTCGCTTTCGTTCTCTTTCCACCACTTCTTTCAAAGCATTTATTAAGCGGCAGAGCAAAGCCATGCAAGCTTTATAGGGGACTCGATGGTGTCCCTCTGTCCGCCTGTCCGTGAACACGATAACTGTCAAACACTTGCACCGATTTGGTTCAAACTTTGCACAGTTGACCTATATGCCACATGTAATAAGCCTATTGAAAATGGGTCAAATCCAATGACTCCGTGAGGTCACGCTTCTCTGTCCCTGCCAAACGCTTAAACCTTTCGGTTGAAACTTTGCACAGTAGACTTATATGCCACATGTAACAAGCCAATTGAAAATGGGTCAAATCCAGTGACCCCGTAGGGTCACACCGAGATGCTCTGCCGATTTTTTAGATGCTCTTTAGGGATTTATTACTTCCGTGATGTTGCACCATGCTTCCTTCACGCTTGAACTTGGTAAGTGCTTTTCCAAGCCCTTCACTATTTCTTTTCCAAATTAAATTGCTTAACTTATTCCTTCCTTCCTCCCTCAGAATTACTAATTTTCCATTTTCTGCGAACGAGCTATAATAGTAAGTCGTTTTGAATCTCTTTATTTCGCTCACTCTATTTTCTAGTTTCCTTTTTCTGTTCGGTGTACCTATAGCGTTAGATGTGAAGTGTTCCTTACCTTCTTTCCGTGAACTCTCCTCTCACATGAAACTCCTGGGATTATGCTTACTCGGAAGTCCGAATGTGGGCATTTTACTCGGGAGCATTTCATTTTAGGAGTGCTTTTCCAGCATGGCCGAGGACGTCCATAATGACCTTTAAAATGGTACACTCTTCTGGGGTTGCCCATCTTTCGGTATCCTATATACCGTTGGTTCCTTCCTTAAACCTGATCCGTCTTTCTCCCCCTAAAGACCCTGGCCTCCTACCCGCTGATCCGCCATACAAAAAACCGTTGGCACTTGGTAGAAGGGTGGCGTCTTATAATAAATTAATGAGATACGCTAAATATAATGTTAATTTATTTCTATACACACCTGTACAGTGTCCCAAATTTGGGGATGGCCGTTAGGATCTCGTAAACCGTAAAAGATAGGAAGTCGGTTAAATGGAGGTGTTGCTTTTAGAAAGTGAAGAAATTGGAAAATTCGCTAATTTACGTGTTAATTCCTGTTAACGTTTGGATTCGACTTGCTTTCACAAGCTTCGCTGTAATTTATTAGTTCTATTGTATTATAAATAAATAAGCGTTACACTATTTATTTGTCAATCTATAATATTACAAACTAAGCGACATTTTCTATTCCATTACATTTGAATTAGAAGACAGTGTGTTGAAACGTGGTAACAATGGACGCAGTGATCGAAAAACCATGAAGATGACGCCTTCCTAGAAAAAGAAAATATTGTTAGTTGCAATAGTTGAAAATACAAATCATGGGCAGATATTTAGTTGTGCATAATTGGAAACAGGAATTTATTGGTAAATGTATTTCTTCGCAAACATTTTTCATTAGTACCTTTTGAAGTCTTTAGTCACTTTCAAAAGGGATGAGAGAATACTTACCAAAAAGGGGAAACAAGTCCGACTAAGAGATCCTTGTTTTGGTCTAAGCTAAAGAAATAAAATAATTGATAGGGATAGAACATAAACAATAATTGACGTCACAATCGAGGGTGATTTAATAAATGATTTCAAAAATATTACAAATAGGAACACTGTAATATATAGATCTGCAATGTCAACATTAAAATTTAAATTAATTTTTTTGTAAAAAGGGGTTCAATACGTAGAGAAAGTATTAATATCCAAACAGACTTCCCCAGAAAACAACGGAACTATAATCGTTAAGTGAATCTAAAACGAATGAATAATAACAACCGGACCGCATCAAAAACCAGTATGCAATCAACCACATCAAAAAGTCGTCGAAAATATGTTACCCTTCGCACTACAGGTCGCAACGACCTTGTTGAGCTCTATAATAGACAACAACACAAACAAACAAACAAACAAGAGGGGTAGTGAATAGCGCGGCACATAAATTAAGCAATTCTATCGGCTGACACTGGTCAGGTGCTCGTATAGTTGCTTCGCTTAGTTAGACCTTAAAAGACATGTTAAGAAAAATGCCGAGCAATCATCTAACATACCTCGTACTGCTTATATGCAAACACAAATCCGCAAAACGCCCCAAACAAGCACGGCCACAGACTTTAAAAGACAGAGAAGCCACTCCAAAGACACATGGCGATAGCCAAAACAATAATCTCTTTATAGGTAAGACAGGAAGTCAGTAAAAGTACCAAGAGAAAAATTTGCATGTAATCAACATGAAGGCAGGATCATTTCCGAAGAGGAAGAAGTATGGCGAATGCGTAAGCAGAAAGAAAAAAAAGGGATAGAATTAGAAGTACCACGGAAAACATCTGCACGACCTCCGACGGCGAAACAAAGAGCTATTGTAAAAGAAACCTAACGGCGAAAATAATGAACTGGGAAAAAGAACTCTACCACAAAACTACCTTACGTCTTTAAACTAATGGAGTACAAAGAAAATACCTGGATGGCGTAAGAATTTAAATAACAGCGAACATTACAAAGTGGTGCATCAAAACCTATAACAAGGAAAGTGATTATGAAAAAATCAAGTGTATAGCATTTCCTCGCAAGTAGATTGAATCCATTTTTTCTAGGACGCTTTGACTTTTATTCAAGGGAATTTAAAGCAGCAGCAAAAGCTGTGGCAAGGAAACCGATTTCTAAAAGGGTTTCGAAAATAGATAGAAGGAAAAATTGTTTCAGGTAGACTGGGAATAGACTTTTTCAAAAGATTATGTTCCCTAGTTATCTGTAGAACAGAAAGACAAAAAGTGACTAAGTTATGGCAAAAAACTAATGTTAAAAGGGGCTTGAGTTGAGAAACAGAAATTTTGGCATGTAGAATTCAAAACAAGCAGATTTTACAATATTCAAAGGTGGTTAATTGATTATTGATTTATTATGGTAATCTCCCGTTTCTCTGCACCACCCTGTATTAGATGAAAAATAATAAACGGTCAAAATACATTAATAAATTATACGTTATTAATTATACATAATTAATACAGCAAAACCAACGATTTTCAAAGTAGCAAAGCGTACTGTCTTCAAAAAATGGCTGCATTAGTTCAACCAGTTTTGTTCTAATAGATTTTGATCTGCACGAAACAGACAGCACAAAAACGAGGTCATTGACCTTGTATGACCTCGATAATGTAATTTGACACCGCAAAAAAAGTAGTCATGAACTTGTATGACCTTGAAAATGTAATTTACGCCACAACATAGGGTCATTGACTTTGGATACCTATAAAATATAACTTGACACAATGGGGTTAATTAATGACTGCAAATTTAATTTGATAGCCCAACAAATGCCCTTTTAGCTATATCTTGACCTACTTCCCAAGGTCACCGCCAGAGTTGGACTGGGTCAAGCATAGAGTGACCCGGTGACCCAGTTAGTTTACTGACCCGGTGACCCAGTGACCCGGTGACCCAGTTGACCCGGTGACCCAGTTTGACCCGGTGACCCAGCTTGACCCGGTGACCCAGCTTGACCTAGTTTGACCCGGTGACCCAGCTTGACCCAGTGACCCAGCTTGACCCGGTGACCCAGCTTGACCCAGTTTGACCCGGTGACCCAGCTTGACCCGGTGACCCAGCTTGACCCAGTGACCCATCCTGACCCAGCTTTACTCAGTGACCCGTCCTGACCCGGTAGCCCAGTAATTAAATTATTGTTAGTTTATCATCCAAAACAATTTCAAGTAACTTTTAATTTAAAAAAAACTTCCTCAATAATATTCGGCAACAAGCACGTAGCCCAATTTCATTCAAGAGAACTAATACCTAAAAAAATCAAATGCATTTGTTTATAGTTTGTAGTCAAGTAGTCAATGAAAGTATTTAGAGAAAAGATTTATTTGGATTAAGCTAACTAGTAGAAAAAAATTAAATGAGAATGAACACCTGTAAGCAAACTGGAAAGCCCTGAAGCAAAGAAATAACTTATTCTAATACAATTCGGGACATGGAAGGTTTTTTACGGCAGTATTAAAGCAAACATCACAGAAATGGCAGTTGTCAAGCAATCGAGTATTATTTTCAACAAACCAGCATTTCATTTATTGCATAATCTGTACACTTGAACCGAGGGCACTGACTTAACTGCGTTATTCAATCAAACTAGGTGACTGGGTCGAATTGGGTCCCCGGGTGAAATTGCGTCGCTGGGTCAAACTGGGTCACTGGGTCACTGGGTCAAACTGGGTCAAGTTGGGTCACTGGGTCAAACTGGGTCACTGGGTCTAACTGAAAAGAGTATGACGTGACCCAGTGACCCAGTTTAATTTAGTGACCCAGGTGACCCAGTTGACCCAGTGACCCAGTGACCCAGTCCAACTCTGGTCACCGCCGCGTGGTATGTTACCTAGACGTACTTTCCAATGGCACCACCAGGCGGCGAGCGACCTTCAACTGGTCCAACCTTGTATACCTACTAATAATCAACCATTAAAATACTGCAATAAGTTTTACAGGAAGAAAGTCCATTTTCAGAAGAGCAAACTCTTTGAAAAAGGTTGTCCTAGATCGACCCATACAGCGCTTTGTAAGCAATTTTCAAAGAAAAAAAGTGTATTGCTTCGAAAATAGATCGAAAAACGGTTGTACTGTGTTGATTTTAGAAAATACTAAATGTACTGCCTCGACAATAGATTGAAGTAAGACTGTCGCAGATGAACCGATCAGATTTTTCAAATAACTTTTGATCTGTAGCATACAACCGCCATAAATAAGCAACAATAAAAATACTGAAATATGTTTTACCTACATCAAGAAAATGATTTTCAAAAGAACAAAAGTACTTCGTTCAAAAAATGATTATCCGAGATCTACCTTTTTCTTATACAGGGTGCCCATTATGCATGAAAGATTGTATATATCTGGGTAAATATTCAGTATACAAATAAATTTGATCTATATGGAAGTTGTTTTTCCCATAATTAAGCAAGATTCTATTGTTTTTATTTTAGAAAACAAATGAATATCGAAAAACAATTGAAACCTCGATGCCGAACCGTCAATGGTTCAAGTTAGTTGGTTGGTTACCGATCGTTGATTGGTACCTCCTATCCATATTTATTTCTTGGGAGTATCCTTTGTACATTCATTTACAACAAAACGGCGGAGGGTATAGGTATAGGGAATCCGCTTTTAAAGAAAGCCGAATGGCGCAGTGATAACGGGCGATCAAAAATGAGTTGCTATCGAGTCGCCTTTGGAAGTTCAAGTTAAATACGATTTCCCATGTAAACAAAAGTTCCAAAGGTGACTCGACAGCAACTCATTTTTGATCGCACAGTATTTAATAAAGTAAGTTAAAGATCGCTCCTCAGCAGAATACATTCTGGTGAGAATTGCTAATTAATCCCACTATTTAATATGGTATTGTTCTATGGAAGATCCAAAAATTGAAATTTTTCTGAGTGGATATACGAATGCAAGAACCCCTCCCGAAAAACAGAGTGAAAGTACTCGAATTTACGAAAATACGTAAAACAAATAAGAATGACTTCCCGTGGCCTGATATATTGCCGAGGAAACTCATTTTGTAATGGCAACGCAAACAAATCAATCTTGTAATTGATCTTGGTAACCGGAAGCCGGCCTCCGATCCCGGAAACACCTCTTCATTGTGTTCAAATAATACCGTCCCCTTGAAATGTCGAATAAGAGCCTCGTCCCTGGCGTCTATTATGGAAAATATTAGTAGCGCCAATTTCCCGAAAGCAATTACATTTCGCAATTAATGGTGTTAACAAGTGAGGTGTACGTATAACACAGTGGCAGACTCTCGCTTTTGATTTTCCGAACTACTGAGATTAGAAATTAGAAAGGGAATGATCGTCCTTTACTAATCTGCGTCACCTTGCGGATCAGAAAAGACACTGCAGTACAATATTGCTTTAATCTCGGTCCCCGTGTTATCGTCAAAGGGCCTCGCTTCTTACATACAGCGGGCCAATTCAATATTACACGCTTTTCTTTGACTTTTCGCCCTTAAATTATTTGATTTGTTGTTTCGTATTAATCAGATTTCCGTGCATTTTTAACGCCGGTTTTTCTCTACCTTACGATCTTCCGAAATGGTACAAGATATGATTCGATAATAAGGTAGGTATATGGGCTGCATGTGAGTGAAACTTTCGCACGTTGTACTAATATTTTCGTTGCGAAGCGAAACTAAAAGTAGAGTCGGAGGAAAACTTTACGTCGTTTAACACTCCACAAGCAAAGTAAACTGAATTTCCAAATGGCGCGGCACATCTTTAAATAATACATTG